GCTTCCTGCCTGGAGGCACAAATCACTTTAGCGATACATTTTCATCAAAACCGCCAACTACAATCACAGGTGTGAAGAATCTTCCAACCTCATAAAAAAAAAAGTTACAGACATCAGAGATTCTCTCTGCTGGGTAACTTCTGATTTTGTGATTTACAGTGAATAAAGGGATAACTCATGACTTTTTACTCTAAGAACCAACTGTAAATTTATGACATTTCTCACAGTTAATCTACGTGATTTGTGTGTGAAGACAGCCGTAGATGCACCTAATTCAAATTTACAGTTAGAAAAGTCTGAGAAAAAGCTTCACTCAAGTCCCTGGAAGTTTCCAAAGGAGGGGCTAAGACATTTTTTAATAAAGCACAGCATAATGCTGAACTTATTATATTTAAGAAAAGAATAATGTCTTCACAGTGGCATGTCTAATTATCTAAATTCACAGAGACCAAATGCTGTATTTTTCTATTAGTCTGTTCCTCATTTTTCTACATACCTCTTTTGAGAGTGAACATCCTTAGACATATGTAACCCTTCCCTTAAATTTTAAAATATCTTCATCCTAAAGTGACTTTTAAAGTTCAGGTTAGAAGTTTTATTATTTCTCAAGTTTTCATGCCTTGATTTTTTTTTTTTCATCTGCTCCTGGAGTTTTCACAGATAAGGCATCTCAGCAACAGGCCTAATTGGAAATAAATGAGCTCACAGTCACATCCCTTACTGTTTTTTGTACTTCCTGCAGCTGCCAGGATATTCTATATGTGGCCACTGATAACCAGTTTAGTGGGTTTTCCTCACTGAACACTGAATAAATCACTACTGACCTAACTAATTTAAGGACAGAATTTAGCAGCCTGCTGATCTAACATGGTTAGACTTAAGTGAGTTTATGTTTTGTCCTCCAGATTGGCATGAAGAGGTTTCTGTGTGCATTTATACATCTGAAAATAGCAGAAGAAAATAACATTTTACAGCATGGAAAACTGACCAGCCACATGACAAATCCTAAGAACAGAATGAAGCTGACAGGAAATGCATACTCTCCTGTGCCACAGCCACGACGCACATCCATCCCAAAGACGTGACAAAAAATAGAAGAGGAAAATTAGTGAATAAAGCTCAAAGTGTAAAGGAAACTGACTCCTATGGACTTGGCTTCAGGGAAACTACACAGACAGAAAACTGTTACAGAAAATTCATTATCTCTGGGGTCATTTCCACTGCAGTAGGCGGAGTGGCTCTTCCGGGTGAAAAAAAAGAGGGGTGCCTTTTAAATTACCAGAATAATTAAAATCTTGGATTTCCTTTCATGATGGGAAACTAGCATAAATAACACAAGGCAGAGGCATGGGTTTGGCAACAGAAGAACAAGACTCAAAAGCCTGTGGGAAAGGCATTCTGAGAGCAGTTTTGAACTGGCCAGCCCTGTCATGGCCATGGACAGGGAAGATCGCACATTCATGAAGGAGTCACATGTGATGAGGGAGTTGTTGGAGGCTACACGATGGCATCATTTTAACTTTAAACTTTCAATGCAAATTTTCCTCCTGTATCTTCTCTGTGGTGTTTTTCCCCCTCTTGCTGTTGGGGAATGCTGAATGCAGGCCCAAGATATAGGGACAATGTCCCACTCAAGTGCCTAGTTGAGATGTGTGGGATTTCCAGTCATACGTGACCCTCTACCTCGTTTCTTCTCAAAACCTCAACCTTCACTGTCCGAGTCACCATTCTACTGCTGTGAAGAGACACCATGACCAAGGCAGCTTATGCAGAAAAAAGCACTTCATTTCGCCTTGACTACAGTTTCAGTGGGTTAGTCGGTGACCATCACGCATGTGAACAACTACGTCGATCAAAACATAGCAAGCTGAATGACACATACCATGCAGTGAAGCCGTCATCGAATATAACCATAACAAATATACTGTGGGAAATAGTCAAGGATGTAAACAAAATGAAACATAGAGGAGAAATCACCAACGGTGATATAAAGAAACACAGTGAGAAATTAATAGAAGTAGAGCTCAAGGGGCTCCAGCATGTGTTATGCATATACATTTGAAGATAAGACTAAACTGTCCTGTGTAGTGAGATAGTCCTTCTGTGGCACTGACCACGCCCATTGGGGGGTGGAGCGATGGGCGGGGAGGACCTGAGGAAGGAGGTCGGAGGGGGCCAGGAAGGCGCTCTCTCTTGCTGGCGTGACTCGGACAGGAGAGGATCGGGTTGAATTTCCTGGTGTTCATCTGTCTAGGTTGTAGGTTATTTCATCCTGAATAAACATCTATTCGGCCTATTTGTTTATCCTGATCCTTATTTACCACAATAGTCCTGGAAATAAACACTTCCAGAACAGCACATGAAGAGACAAAATATATGAGAACAGAGGGCTGCCAATAGCTCAGCAGGCGATGGCACTGGCCTGGTGGCCCGTGTTTGATCCCTGAGACCCACTATGAAAGGAGACAGCTGACTCCGTGAAAGTTTTTTTTTTTTTTTTTTTTTTTTGACCTTCACAAATATGTCACGGATTGTGGGTCCATACCACACATAGACACACACACTTATCATCATCATTATCATCACCATCAAACTATAGGACCAGAGAAATGGTTCAGCAGATAAAAGCACTGCACTGCTGGCAAGCTGAGTTCTATCCCTTGAGATCCCTTGAGCCCACGTAAAGACAGAAGGGGGAGAAGCAACTCCTGAAAGTTGTCCTCTGAGCTCCAGATATATGCCTTGGCATGTGTGCGACCACACACTCCATGCAAGTGAGGGCATGCATGTGCTCATGGACACTGCACACACACACGCGTGCGCTGCGCGCACACACACACACACACACACACACACACACACACACATGAAGGCCGAAAAAAGGAGTAGAAACAGAAAGAATCAACATCAACATTTAGCCAATAGACAAGGAAAGGAAAAGAAATCAGTGAGGAAAAAAAACCTTCAGGAATCAATAAACAATAGCTTTGGCATGGTAGAGAATATTTTCAGTCCCAACATTCTAGATGCCAGTGCAGGAGGATCACAAGTTAGGCTGTGATTCTGTCTCAAGATAAATAAGTAAATATATATATATATATCATGATGAGGGAATGAACACAACTGCATGCATTGAACTAATGGTGACTGCTGTCCTTTACAGATATTAAGAATGATAGCTTTCACAGTTACACAGTATTCAAGCCCACACTGATGAATGCGGAGCTGTGGTTTTAAACAAATAAAAGGAAAAACATTTTAAGCAACACCATAGATAGAAGGGGGGGCCTCCAAAGCCGCCTGTGTGTGCTCGAGCTGTGGCACTCATCTTCTGCCATCTGCAATGTCAGCTCTTGGCTCCCAGGACTTTGACTTCAGACCAAACCACGCTATTGACTTTCCTGTGCTGAAATGTGTGTGTTGTACTTGTGAACAGTAGCACCTAGCATGATTCCTAACATGTAACGTAACTGAATACTGGCATTCTCACCTGTCTATGGCCAACTTCCACTATTTGGTTAAATCCGTCCGAAGTTGCCAATTTTATTTTAGGTCATAATGGCTAAACATCGGCAGTTGCATTTAATTTAGATAGATACAAAGGGGGGAAGGGGGAATAACCATAGCACAAGTAGCTACCATGAAGACTCTGTTGGAGGCATTCTGCAATAAACCAACTTGGACTCTGTCCTTTCAGGATTCACAGAAAGCCACAGGCCTTTGCACACTTGAGTTCAGATGCTATCTTAAGGTTAAGGACTTGGCCCCTCTGTTCTGCTTCCTGAGAATGTGAGCTACTTCAGGGGCTGCAGAATGCCCATATCTATTACTAGGTCCGTGAGCTTTTCGTTACCATATTTAAACAGACAATTAAAGTGTCCTTGTCACTGGAACACTTTCCAGAGTGCAGAGTGTAATTGATATAATGCAAATCACTTTTGAACCTTGTGGCATTGTGCATTCATCTGGTTTCTTCCTGTTTTCTCCTGCCAGCGCTCCCAACAATGATTTTCCATAAAATCAAACTCTCCTTAAATTCTATCCAGTGTGTTCTAAGGAAACTTATTTTGAATTAAGTTAACTTGGGCTACCTCTCTCTTTTTTTAACTTTCTTTTTATTTACTTGTGTCTTTTTCACATCATGCCCCCCTGATCCCACCCATCTCTCCCACCAACATAACACACACACACACACACACACACACACACACACACACACACACACAAGGCACAAGAGGAGCAGAGAAGGATAAAGTCTTGCCTCACTGGGACTCTTCCTGGACATCCCGTTGCTGCCTTGTGTCCATGGAGATACAGCAGCCTTGGATTTTCAGGATCATCCACATACACACTCCACCCAGTGCCCCAGCAGATCACAGATAGTGTGGTTATTGGGGTCGGCCGTCACATAACCCTGATTCTGGGCCTGGATACTGCAGGGTTGGTCAGCCCACCAGCTCTCCCCTATCTTTGCTACCTGAGTAAGTACCTCACATAACATAACTTTTTGGAGGTATCATTTAGCTCTTTCTGCAAACTCCCGCCTTTCTTGCAATATTCCACACGCTTGAGGGCTTTTCTTCTCCCCCAACAGACATGCCAGTATTGACTGACTGATGTCAACAAAAACAGTCCTCTAGCTCTCCAAAGAGATAGTAGAATATGGAGACAACAAAGTTGTAATTTCATTTGTTATGCTGATTACATTTTTTTTCTTAATAAATGGAAAGTCAGAAAAAAAAAAAAAAAAAAAAACAGGCAAGAACTAGCTGGGTAATAAGTCAAAGAACCAAACTAAAATGGTGGGTTGAGGAGAGAAAAAAAAATAGGATGTGGCCTTCATGATCCTTAGTGAATTAAGCTATTTCCAGCTTATTTTTGAACTTGTACATCTTAAATGAAAATCTCTGCTTGCAGCAATAAAAAAAAAAAGTGTAATCTTTGTTCAAAGCGATTTGATAGCCATAAAGGTCGGAGAATGGCAGCATATCCCAGTTTACTTATCCTCGGCGAACTGTGTGAAATAACAGCTTCAGTCGGATCTTTACCTTGACAGTGAAGCGTTTCTTTCTTGGTGGGCTCCACACAGTGCCAGTTGAATGAATGAACGCACGCAAAGGCCTTAAGGAGGTCACCAACACGTAGGCTTTAAGAATCACAGATAGCTCTTCTGCTCTGAGGATTGCTTCACGTGGAGCAAGGACTGTAGTATGATTCCTGGTAAAATAATAATAATAATAATAATAATAATAATAAACAAAAACAAAACATAGCACTGCATTTAGAATTGAGTAGGCAATGTGTGAATGACCTAAAATGACCTAAAGCTTGGTAATCTCCCCCACCTCTCTCTTGTCTCACACACACACACACACACACACACAGACACACACACACACACACACCCCTTTAGCCCAGTCTTTGTGTATGGATTTCCTGAAACAATTGCAGCTGTGGATTATTTTCTAACCACCAGGGGGTACATGGGCACAGAGACACACTCTCAAATGGGTAGAATTCTCTGCACTGGAAGACCGAATTAAACAATTTTCCCCCCTAAAGGAAAACAATACTAACAACAATGTTTAAAGATTTCTGAAAATTAAATTAGTCACACTACCTGTGACCTTGGATTCATGGGACTGTGACAGAAGTGAGTACGTGAATTTGTGTGACAAGCTCCCCCTCCCCCCACCTACTGGTTTTTCTTGGGTGATTTCTCTTCTGTTTGTGCAAAAACAGTGAACTGTTTAACAGCAGACAGGTCATCAAGAATATGCTAGAATACTTCCCCAATTACTTCACATCTGCCTAACAAACATGCCATCCTTCCTAATAATTAAAGACCAACTTGAAGGCCGAATATAAAGAAAGCAATAAGTAATACTAGTTTCTTGTTTAGTGATGAAACAAACACACTTCCATCATAAATTGTACCAAAGAAATATGTGATTTTTTTGCTTTTCTGTACCACATCTTTATATCAAGTACCTAAGCCTACTTGATAACATGTATGTAGCTTGTTTTTCGGACAACCACGAAAGTTAAAATATTATGAAGAAACTGCATATGATTTCTCAATTAGTACTATTAAATGCCGAAACATTACACAACTAGATGAGGCAAGCCTATTTAGTTACGTCTTGAACGAAGTAATTAATATGTATTTTTCCCCCTGTGATTTTTAGACATTCTAAAATCCTCTACCTAGAATCTGTAGAATCCAGGAGGGAAGGACCACTGGTAGAGAGGGGAATGAGAGGTCTTAAGGAGAGAGGATAGTAGAATACATGTGGCCCGGAAGGGAGAAAGGGGAAATACGTGAATGCACAGAGGCATGGGAGGGAAAACTAGCCCTAAGGGTGTCCAGAGAAGCCTAACAGAAACCTACTAGTTTATAAACGTCATGTATAAGCACTTTTCCACATAAGAGTTTCATGAGAATCACTCCAAGCAGGGGATGATGCTCCTCCCAGCAGCTACAGACAGCAACATAAAAAGCCCAGTGCAAAGTGTGGGACACTTCCTCCAGAGTTCTTGGTCTCGGAGTGTCCCAGAGATCTCTCCAATGATACAGGCCATTGCTAGTGCTCTTGGTTGCCCACCAGAGCCTGATGACAAGACTCTATTGCTGAAGACATACCCTCTTTGGTCACAGGACCTAAAGACATCAACTTGGTATTGACCAGGAAGCTTGCTCCCTGCTGGCCACCTTTTGTAGTACTGAACAGCACTATAAGTCAGTTTCCTGGGGCAGGGAGAAGTTATCAACAGTCTTACCCAGTCGTGAACCCTGTAACTACAATAATGACCTGGGTGACAAAATATGACCCTGGGTGCAATAATGATATAATTGTTATGGGTGAAGCAAGCACTTTTTGCTTGAACTTATGGCATGTGCCGCAAGAGGAAATAGATGTTTAGTATTGTAAATCTGGCTACGACTCTGCCTGAAGCACTCACAGGTTCTAGGGCTAAACTACTAATATTTTGTTAAATGGGCATATTATCAAACTGCTCTCTAAAATCCTATTCCTATACCTCTCCGTTCATGTAGCTCTCAGACCTCATCAGAGAAGTTTCCTTGTACAACAGACTCTCACAACTTATTAAAATGCAGAAGTGTCATTGGAGCAATCAGGTACAAACAGAACATCTACATAGCCCCCATCCCCATAGGAGAGGGGCCAGACAGGCTGTGAGGACCAAAGGTCAGGGAGGACTTGACTGAAACTGCTTCATTCCTGACTTCACAGAAGCTCTGTTTGCCTTCACTGCATAAGAATAAGCTCTTCGACAGTTGAACATGAAAGCAGGGAGGTCTGACAAGCCCCTACCTCTAACTGAGGAGCTATTGATAGCTGATGACTTTTGGGGGAGTCATATTCCTTTAAGGGTGTGGTCCTTGATCAAGCTCCGGACCAGCTCTATACTAAAACTATGTAGGTAGTACAAATTTGACTAGGTGGTTATTTAAAAGGGGGGTACATTAAGTTGGAAGGTGACTGATGGATCTGGGAGGAGTTGGAAGAGAAAGAAGAGAATAAGATCAAAATACATTATTGTACAAAATTCTCAAAGAATTAATACAAATGTTGTATTAGTATTAAAAATATCATTTCCCCAAAAAACGTTGGACAACTTGATACCCTTCTTAGGTAGCAGGAGTCATAAAAATTTAATAGCTAACAAAAATCCATTCAGCCATACTCAAAGACTAAAGCAATGTCATGTGGGTATAAAATAGAAGTTAAATTTTTATAGTCTTACATTTTCAAGGTTCTAAATTCAATTTACATTAATATAACTTACTAGCCAAGAGTCCAATTTACCTAAATGTTTATTCTACAGCAGCAGTTTGAATTAGTCTAGGAGAAAGTCAATGATGACATTCCTTTTTAAGACACAATAATTGAACGTTCTTGTGAGTGGGGCCTAGCAATTCATTGAGCAGCAGCCTCTCCACTGGGCCCCTTCCCCACACCCAAGTCCTCAGATATGATTTCTAGCTTTTTTTTCCCTTTGCTTCCAACAGTATATACTGGATAGAACATTTAATGTGTTTATCTTACAATTGTTCGCCTCGCCAGTCCTGTGGTTTCCACATCTGTGGCTTGACTTCTTTTGGGAGGTGACTGGAATCTCTCAGCTGTGACTGCGTTCCCTGATTCAGGCACACAGAGGGACTCACTGGAAGTCTCAGTTCTGAAAAGAGTCACAAGCAAAACACAGTCATTCTTTTTGGGTCCTCCTGGGAACTGCTTCCAAATTAGATGATGCTGTGTCAAAAGCAGAGGGTCCATCCCTCTGTTCTGAAGCTAGACTGGATCTATGAAGTAAGAATTCATGATCATGGGATGGGGACACAAGGGGTGGGGTTGGGAGGTGGATGGAGGTGGGAGAATACTGAAAGAGAAAACTGAGAAGGTTTAAGGCTGGGGACAGTTTGGGGTCAAGTAGAAACCTGGATCAAAGGAATCTTCCAGGAATCTACAAGGATTACCCCAGCTAAGACTCCTAGCAATAGTGGACTGGCCATATTCTGTGACCTGGCAAGACATCAAATGGAGGAACTGGAACATGAACCCAGCCACATAACCTTCGACCTTCAGTCTGTCCTGTCCGTGGGATATACTGGGGTAACGGTAGTGAAGAGATTGTGGGAGTGGCCAACCAATGACTGGTGCAGCCTGAGACCTACGCCACAAGAGTGAGCCCATCCCTCACACTGCCTGGAGTGCCAGGACCCAGTTCTATGAACGTCACATAGACCTAAGAGAAATCAAACACAACTGGAGAAAAACATGTCAATGTAATGATGCCTAATGATACTCTGCTATACTCGTAGATTGGGGCCCACCCCCAGTTGTCATCAGAGAACGTTCATCCAGTAACTGATGGTAACAGATGCAGAGACCCACAGTCAAACATTAGGCTCAGGGAATCCTGCTGAAGAAAGGGAGAGGAAGGACTGTAGGAACCAGAGGGGTCAAGGACATCATCACAAGAAAACCCTCAGAATCAACTAACCTGGCTCATAAGAGCTCACAGTGACTGAACCAACAACCAGGGAGCCTGCATGGGACCAGCCCTGTGTCTCTACATGTGTATGACAGTTGTGCAGCTTGGTCTTCTTGCAGGACTCCTAACAGTGGGAACAGGGGCTGTCTCTAATGCTTTGACTCACTTTGGAGAACCTATTCCTCATACTGGGTTGCCTTACCCAGCCTTTACACAAGGGGAGGTGGTTAGTCCTACCACAACTGAACTCACCATATTTTGTTGAGATCCATGAGAGGCCTAGCCTTTTCTGAACAGAAATGGAAGAGGAGTGGATTGGGAGAGGGACTGGGAAGGGAGGAGGGAGGGGAAACTGAGCTTGGGATGTAAAAAAAAATTAAATTTAATTAATTAAAAAAAAAGAATCCATGATCAGAGAGAATTTTGTTTTGGAGTCTTTTCTTTTTTTGTTTTAACCACAGACCAGAAAAACGACAGTAATATGTGATTCTCAATTTTCTTGCTCAGAAAGGAAGGCAGAGTGCATGTTTGTAACCATCCAACCCTAAGCTGACCTCCATCCACACTGCTAATGGGTGCTCTGACACTGACAGGAAGGTATCCATAGGAACTGTTGCTGGTGTGAATAGCACCCAGAAAACAAGTCGATTTCCTGACAGTAGACTGCTTCATGTGTTTAAGTTGGTTATGCCTCATGACCTTGGATAGGTCACAAGAGTCTCAAACTATTTCAGAAAGGGTTGTTACACAAATGAAGAACAGCGACAATGTCTTACTTCAGAACAGTTACACTGAAATGTTTAAAAGAGAAAATGTTGGATAAGCTTAGTAAGAATTCCAGGAAGTTACAGAAAGCTACAATAAGTAAATAAATAAATAAATCCTTCTTCCATCGAAGGTGACATCACCTTTTGAAATCCACAGAAGCACAGGAGTCAGAAGTATTCTGTCTGTTCTAAAACATAAATGGATACTGAGATGAATACCGATGTGCTTATATTAACTCATATACATAGGTATTTGTTTTCTAAATTATACAATGCAGACATCCTAATGGCCCATGCCTGGTTTATTTCTCAGTTTTATGTAGAATTACCCATACATACTTCTCAGTGGCTTATACTATTCCATATATATATATATATATATATATATATATATATATATATGTATACACACACACACACACACACATATATATATATGATATTAATTAGGACATTCTCTTCTACTGTGCACTTACTGTTAAAATAGTTTCCCTTTGCTACTGTAACATTGTGATGAACATTCTCATACAACTATTTTGGTATACCTGTATAAACTTATCTAAATTCTCGGCATGCAAAATTACCAGGTTAATGGATAAATGCATTGTAAATTTGTTAGGCACTATCGAATCGCTTTTTAAAACACTTCTCCTAATTTCCACTCTACCCAGGAGGGTAGGAGAGTTGTTGTTTTACTCCCAGGTCACAATGCTTGATTTTTAAGTCTAATAATTTATCCAGCTCTCAAAATGCAGCAAAGCCTTTAAATTATTTTTCCTCTTGTGCACATTCCATCAATGCTAACATCGTCTAATTTAAAACATTTCACACTCTTAAGTAAACGTCACAGAAGTAGAGCTGTTTGATGTATTCCCATATCCCATTATTTAGCAGTGTGAAGCTCCATGTGTTATAGCAATGGAATTAGCATCATTCAAATTGCTTTAGTTTTGAAACTGACAAATGAAAAGGCATAGAAGATCATCTCTTTCCTTGGAAATCTGATGGGGGAATGTCCTTCTGTATGTGTGTTTCCCTTATTGGTTGATGAATAAAATACTCATTGGCCAGTAGAGGCAGGAAGATAGATGGGGCTAGGAGACAAGGAGGATGCTGGGGAGAGAGGCAGAGAGGCACCATCAGAAGAGACACCATGTAGCCACCAAAGGAGTACCAGATCTGTGCATTCTCTGGTAAGCCAAGACCACATGAAAATACATAGATTAATAGTTATGGGTTAATAATTAAGAGAGAAGTAGACAATAAGAAGTTTAAGACATCAGTCAATAGTTTTATTATTAATATAGAGTCTGTGTAGTCTGTGTGCTTATTTGGGGCTGAAGGGGCTGTGGGACCTGCTGGGACATGAAACTCCAGCAACAGAAATCACAACCTTCAATTTTTAAAATTATATTACTGTGTGTGTCATGACGTGTGTGGCAGTCAGAGAACAACTTATGGAAGTTGGTTCTCTCCTTCCACCATATGTGTGGGTCCCAGGGCATGAACTCGAGTAGTCAGGCTTAGAAGCAAGTGCCTTTATCTACTGAGCCATCTCGCTGGCCTGGAAATCACAACTTTGAAAAGGTTGAGATGGGAGGCAGGTATATAGCCCAGTGGAAGAGCATGAATTTAGCATGTACATGATCTTGGGTACAGCCATCTCCTATGGGCAGAGAAAAAAGAAAATGTTGACTAAATTCCTCAACCTTGTAAAAATAAAAGAAATGTTCTCAAGTAAACTTTCACTAAATATGTTATTACTAGGGAAAATTGTATCTCCCAGAAGAGCTCACTTGTAGCTCTCCTTGATGTGAGAACAGTGTCATTGACTCCAATGTCCCCCAATGATGTTATTAAGGTAGTAACAGAAAGAGAGAGAGAGAGAGAGAGAGAGAGAGAGAGAGAGAGAGAGAGAGAGACGGGAGAGGAGAGGAGAGGAGAGAGAGAAGAAAGAGAGAAGAACTCTGTCCCCCTTTTCTGATTTATTTCAAGTGTTAGAGCTATATATGATGCTGGAAAAAAAATGTCAATGTAATGATGCCTAATGATATTCTGCTCTACTCATGGATTGGTGCCTAGCCCAATTGTCATCTGAGAGACTTCATCCAGTAACTGATGGCAATAGATGCAGAAACCCACAATTAAACATTAGGCTCGGGGAATCCAGCCAAGAATGCATAAGGGTTTTTCATTAACCCCTAAATCTGTGATGGAACAGCAGAATTTAATACTGATTAAATAAAGCTTATAGTAATTCATATTTATACATAAGTTGATAAACTCCAAGCTTCTACTACATTGTTTAGACTTGCTGATGACTACATTTGATGATCCCCCCCAAAAAAATTGTAGTTAGCTATACTTTAATATCTAAATTGACTCCTATTTTATTTGAGTATGGGGAAAATGAACAGCTATTACTATGAGGGAAATGCAGTTGTATTTCATGGAAGTATTATAAGTGATTGTGGACATACTTTATTATCTTAAGTTATAGAACAGAATCAAATATTTGTTGGGAGGTGCCTTCTTAGATCTTTTATTTGGCATATTCATCCAAGGTTCTGTCAATAAGTGTGTCACCCGGCTTCCTAACCTTGTCTTACCCACCTTTCTTCTAACCTCTAGACACATTCAAAAGGCCTAGAATTCCCCTCATATAATGCTGAAAGTAGCTTCTCTTTTTGAAGGAATTGGGGAGATGAGACACTGTCACACAGGTAATCTTCCAATAAACTCCCTAATTCATTGGCATAGGATAGCTGAAATGTTTCAGAAGTGCCTAGCATGTGTTCATCAGGGTTTCTTGCCTACAGTATGAAGATGGAGTGAACAACAGATTCAGATGTGTGACACTATCTAGTGAGTAGTGTTGAGCTTTTCTTACTGCCTACTCCTAGCTTATTTCAGAGAGCACTGAAGCCTGTGAGCATACTTGTCACCTGGAGTAAAACCGGACCTTCTGTTAGGAGGGCACCAAGACTGCCTTCTTCCTGCCTTTTAATATCTGGTAAAATGTGTCCAAGTGCCCGCTGACAGGGGTACTCTTACTGATGGGAAGACTGAGGCAGAAATAAGGAGCCTGGTTTTATGTTTTTTGTTCTTGCCTGTCAATACTGGGCTTGTGACACTGACAAGGAGTCTTCTAGATTCCAGAATATGATTCCTATGATTTGTCTAAACTCTACACAATACTAAAACACAGTGCTGATCTGCACCAGGTGCTCCAGTTAGCAAGGAGATAGTCAATCTGTGGTTACAAGTCAAAATGTTACCCCAATGAAGTAAAAGTCCTTCCTTTGGGTAGTAATTCTTCCTGCTCAACATAGCATGCAATTATATACAGGTAAAGATCAAAACACTGGAAAATATATGTACTGGAAAAAAATTAGCTGCCAATTTTCTGGTGTATTT